TCGCAAGTGCCTATGCCGTGTAAGCGCATTAGGTAGGGTAAAGTGATGGTACTCGGACAGGGGCGGATCTACAGTAAAGCGTCAGGGTCCACCGACCCCTGACTTGCGTAGAACCAGCGATACCCTCTGTATTCTCACCATGGGACCCTTTAAATTAAATATTGACCCCAACAATTGTGCAGCCCAGTGCAAAGGCCAGTAGACCGTAAACTCAAAAGCCCAATATAAATACATGGATGGACATCGTGTAGCCAATAAATCAACAGAAGCGAAGAAGCTAACAAGCCCAAAAATCGTGCCGTCGATTACTCTGCCTAGACCGGCCGCCGCCTGATGCTTCGTCTTTCTGATTCAACTTCTTTCTTCCTTTGTGATCGCCCCCCCTCACTGTAATCATCAATACAGCCTGGCGCTACAGCCTGCAGATATCACCGTATCTTGCCGTGGCCGGCGCCGGCGTGACATTAGCTGATTGGAGCAATGTCAACATGTCAGGTAAGGAAATATACGCATGGCTGCAGGCTGCTTGCTGTTATTCAATATCTACTTTAGTGTTTAATTGTGTTCACTAATTTGATAGCCAATCAAAGCACAATGGAAGGATTCTTGAAAGGAAAAAAATCCCCCTGTGATGATCACTACAAATATGATTGCTTGAACCCAATTATTGATCAGCAGTTTACAAATTTTAATGATCGTTTTAATGAGGTAAATTCCGAATTGCTTACCTATGTTGCTGCTTTCAATCCCAAGAATTCTTTTGATGCTTTCAAATTTGAGAGTTCGATGGAGTTGGCAAATGCATATCCTAGTGATTTGATTCAAATGAGCCAGACGATCTTAGTCTTGAGCTTCATTTTTACATTGATAACGTGCGAGCCGATGCAAGATTTGCCCAATTAAATACTATTTCTGAACTTAGTAGATTCATGGTGGATACATAAAAACATATTGCTTTTCCTTTGGTATATCGACTCCTCAAACTTGTGCTAGTTCTTCCTATCGCACAGTATCAGTGGAAAGATGTTTTTTAGTAGTGAAAATTGTGAAAACAGATCTACGGAATCGTATTGGGGATGAATTTATGAATGACTGTGTTGTTTGCTTCGTGGAACAAGAATTTCTTGATGCAATCCCAAATGACGATGTCATAGTTCGTTTCTAGAATTGGATGATCGTACCCGTAGAGTGAAATTATAAGAGTTAACTACTATTGTAAAAAATTTATTTTTATCTTATTATAATATTATTAATTTGGCTCCTATATATGAATCCTTGATTTTTGCAGCCTGGCTTCACAATTATGCCTATATTTTGCATGTATCCTGGTGTTAGATTACTATGGCCTCGTTCGCTGGTCTGAAACTTGGCTAAAAAATACTGTTCCAGCTGGTTTATTGTGAGAGAAAAACATTGTTCGACTGGTTTGATGAACAATAACACGTGAGAGGGACCAGCCGGCTGGCTAGACGGGTTCAGACCAGCGAACACCACCTATAAGTTTCTATCGTGAGTTTGCGCCGACCCCATGACAGTTTTTTCTAGATTCACCACTGTACTCGGCAACGCTGGGATGGACATCCCATCAAGAACCAATTGTTTTCCCTTCCTCTCATGTGCTTTTGCTTCCTGTTTTACCGTTCAATCATGTAATAAACAGCCGTAAGAACTCGCAGTCGACTGCTCCACGAACTTTGCTACACAAACTTCACCGTAGAGCAGTTTCATAAAAAATCTGGAGTTTATTAAGCACCCCTCTAGGTGCTCTCACAACTCCATTTTTTTTCTCGAGTGCATGAAGTTGAACCTATTTAGCTAAAAAACATGGAGCGGAGCTAAAAACCGTAAAGTGGAGTAGTCCCAAACACCCCATAGTGATAGTAGTGCACCTGCCGAAATTCCCACACACAAAAAAAAAGCTGTGGCAAGAAAGAGAATCATTTTTATCTTGCTGATTTTGCTGTGTACTGCGGTACACCAGTCTACCAAATCAAGTCCACGATACTCCACTAGTGTCAAGTCACCATGCTGCTTTGTTCTCTAATATTCTAAAATCTTATGCTTTTGATAACCAAAGTTTCTTACCAAATTCCATACCGAGTGCTGAAAGAATATAGAAGTGTGCCATTAGAAAAAAAAATGAACAAAGGAAGTAGACTCTGTTAAGGCACGTACATCATATTTCGGTAGCTTAAATGTATTCATTCTTATATAACACAAAATTTGGTAATATTTGAATTGGCTACCAATTGTTGATAAACAGTTTATAAAAAATAGATGTTGGGCACGCAAAAAAACTAGGTGCTCCCTAACCTAGGTGGCTACAAAAAGAAAATGCGATCGCTCACGCTAAGTTAAAATTTTGAACCTAGATGGCTAAGTAGACAAGTTTCACCATAATTTGGAGTGTTATTTGAGCCCCGCTAACCAGGTAGCACACTCATTCCAGGTGCCAGCACAATTTTTATTTGAAATCTTTTCTTAATAATTCAAGTGGGATCGCAACATTTAGAGAGTTTGATGTCAGGTTTTAGAGTTAAAAAATCAGATAACAATAATAGTTCACAGAGGTAAAATACTATATTTTTCTAATACTAGCAAATATGTCTGTGCGACATGCACGTATTTATGAAAATTATAAATGCAATGGGAATATAAATTTAATTCTTGATATGTCAATTTATATATATCATCAATATTAAATAGGTTATTGAATTATTTATTGGATCTATAAAACGCTAAAGACATTTACAAAATTATATGAATGAGTGGCACCAGAGCTGATGTCACTTGTTCATCGGTGCAAAAAAAAAATCTGAAATGGGGATGCAGACTAGGCAGAGCTCTACACGATGATTTTATATGTTGAAAGAACCTATGACCAAGCAGTGATGTAAACATAACGGAATATGACTTTAATGAAATAAGATTGTACATGTACAAATAACACGAGGGATTATGACTCTATTATTGATGTAAGATTGTACATAAATCGGCGGATATAAAATAATGTGACTTAACAAAATCGGCAGATGTAAAACAACGTGACTTAAACAAACAAAGGATAAAATTGTAACTTCCTAAGTGTCAAAATCTTACATCCTCCGAATGAAAGGCTCCGATAAGACAACGTCTAGATTGAACGCATATTATAAAAGAAGATCTATGAATTATACGTGGCTAGTTTGCTAACACATGCCAAATTATTCAGTGAGAGTTTATACCTATGCTACTGCATCGCATGAAGATAAAGTGCAATGTGCTGTTGTACATAGCATATTTGCCAGCATCAGAACAATGTTTGCAAGGCCACTCACCGCAGTGGTAAAACAAGCGAGCGAGTGTTTGGCGGCCAAAAACGTGGAACATGGTCATGTTCCTCGTTCCGGAAACATCGTTTCTAAAACATATGCGGCCACGCACCACAGAAAGCTGGTAAAGCAAGCAAGCGAGTGTTTGGCGGCCAGAAACGTGGAACATGGTCATGTTTCTCGTTCCGGAAACATGGTTTTTGAAACGTCTGCATTTTCGATTCGGAAACATTTACATTCACATAGTATAAGATACACCCTAAGTTCCCCTTCCACGTTCCGGTTTCCTGTGGGCTGCTAAGGGGCACCCGAAATGGTATAAGCTAGTTACTAGCTCCAAACTAATTTCTTTCATAATGCTAACTTTTAGCATATACTCCCTCCGTCCCTAAATGTTAGTTGCCATTGTTTGCGTGCCGATAACTTTGACTCGATTTATAGAAAATACGTGCAACATTTCTATCTCCAAGTAAATTTATTAAAAAACTAGATTCAAATATCTATCAACAATACTAATTATGTATCATAAATATTAATATTTTTAAAAATATATTTAGTCAAAGTTGTTTCTCGGAAAACAAAAACGACAGACATTTAAGAGCGGAGAGGGTAGCTCATAACATAAATGAACCCACGTGACACTCTTATATGATCTTGAAATATGTGATGAGCCTAACTTTTAATTAAAAGCTACTAGTTTTTCTCTCTTCCATTGAAATACTATGAAAAAATATGCTTACGAGTCATTCGTTGCAGGTGGCCTATAAGAGGGCGTGAACAGCGGTGGCAGTCACTCGCGATGTTCTTATGGTGACAGGTTGACAGCACACTGGCAGCAGAGGATCCAGTTCCATCCGGCCTCGTGCAGGCCGTTGCTGACAGATCCGTCGACCAACCGAGCAGTTCATTGCCATTTCTCAAGGTCCACATTACCAGCAGACGGCGACTTTTGTGAGTGCTCGGTTTGAAAGGTCCACGGAAGACATTGCCATTTCTCTAGGCCCAAAGATTAAAAATTAAATGGCCAGGAGCCGACGATTTTTTTTAGTGCTCGGTTGAAAGGTCCAGCCTTCCAGGGAAGACATTGCCATTTCTCAAGGCCCAACGTAAGGTTTAAGCCCCCGTGTTCAGTTGGAGGGAAAGTTAGAATTTGAGTACCGTAGCATTTTCGTTTTTATTTGACAATTAGTGTTTAATCATGGACTAAAGGCCCAACAAAAGATTAATTTTTTTCATCTACATTTAATTCCATGCAAAATGGCTTGACTTTTTGGGAAAAGTTTTTGAACTAAACGCGCTAAAATGAAATGCCATTTCTCAAGGCCCAACAAAAGATTAAAAATTAAATGGCTTCGCCCGGACTCGAACCGGAGACCTTCAGTGTGTTAGACTGACGTGATAACCAACTACACCACGAAACCGAAGTCGTAAATTTAAAGCAACGTCATTATTACACTAAACCCAACGCTTAGCTGGGCTTCAGCTGTGTCAAGGAGAGTGTATGCTGCCTGCTATTTCACCCCCCAAAAGCACACTTGCGATGCACCAAATCTAGCTGGAATGACGTACCATCTTGCATGCTCCATATTTTTAGTTGTCCCCAAACCAATATACTAATATCACAGGTGAATATACGGTACAGGCATGCATGATGTATGCCTGCAAGCGCTCTGAATCCTTGATTCAGAGTCAGAGCTGCGTCTGGAAGATGGTGACATGGCCCAGGCGCTGCACCATGTCGGCCACGGAGCCCACGGCGGCGAGCAGCGAAACCACGAGCGCGCCCACGTTGAGCGCCTGCAGCGCCACCCACTTGCGGCTGCCGGGCGCCACCTTGGCCTGCGCGATGTACATGGTCACCGGGAAGTACACCGTGAGCGGCCAGAACGCGATGGCGCCCAGCAGCCCGAGCACGGCGTTGAAGAAGGGCAGCATCAGCGACACCAACGTCGTGGCGGCCACGAACGCCGTGCGCAGCACCAGCTTGCACATCGTGAACCGCACCGTGCGGCCGCCGCCGAGCAGGGGCAGGCGCACCGCGTACTCGTGGTGGAAGAAGGCCGAGTCCGGCCACCGGGCCCCCAGCCACTTCTCGTAGCACGCGAAGATCGGCTGTGCGAACACCTGCATGCGACACACAACAAACGCATCCATCATGCAAACGAACTGCCAGCTAGCGTCGAGACCATGCATGCGACCTGAAAGGTGTGTTACGCGCGGTGCACGGTTGCAGTTGCTATGGTTCGAAGATCACCTGATATGCTCCAACCAAGTGGATAACCACGGCGACGTTGGCGACGTCGACGAGCCAGAACGGCTCGTCGAAGCCGGTGAGCACGTTCCCCGGCGCGGCGTTGCCGAAGGCCGCGTACCCGATGCACCCGAGCGACACGTAGAAGATGGTCGTCACGCCAATGCCGTAGAAGCTGGCCCTCTTCATCGTCACGTTCTCTGATGGCGGTGACTTCACAGTGTCCTGAAGATCACAGTTCGTGGACGGACAATGTCAATGTCCATGCTGTACGCTAGCTGCAACGTGCACAGGGATGTACCTGGATTTCTATGAGAAGCATGGAGTAGGTGTACGCGAAGGCAATGTTGCCGAGTGCCTGCAGGGCGTGCCACGTCTTGGTCGACGCGGAGACGCCCGCGGCGGCGCCGATCTTGACGCCCAGGAGGGTGCCGCGTGCCCCGTGGTTCGACGCGAGCTTGGCGGCGCTCAGGAACAGCCCGACGAAGGAGTAGGTGCACGACATGACGGCGGCGACCACCGAGATGATGGTGAGCTTCTCCAGGCTCGGGAACTGGGACAGGACCACTTCGACGAGGCCGAACGCCACCATGTACATCGTCCCGGACGGGACGCAGGCCGCGTCGTGGCCCCTGTAGTGGTGGCAGTCCGTGCGCGCGACGGCCCTGCCATTCATAGTTTCACACACGCGACGCGCCCAACAAACTTCATTTTTAGACCAGATCTAAACTAAAATGTGCGTTTGTGCGCCACTGAACAGGAATTTTCAGAGATTTCAACCAAGGTTTAGGTTATGGGTAGTTTACATGATGCTTGTGGCAGTGGTGATGGTGTAGCCCACCATTGTCCCCCAGAGGATCGCATACTGTGCGAGTCCACACACCACCACATTTCTAGGCCCTACACACACACATGATCAGAATAATATTCTTATCAGTGTCAGTCACAATCAGAACATGCTACTACCATTGCCCATGATGAGATTCAGAAAAGCCACATGGTGTGGTGTGGTTACCGAGGCATGAGCGGACGGCGTCCATGTAGGTGTGGTTCCGTTTGCCGTGGACGGGGTCCGGCGTGCGGTAGCAGTCGGACAGGAGGACGGCGGTGTAGTAGGTGATGTAGGCGCAGCCGATGAGGGCGACGGGGCCGAGGATCCAACCCATCTGCGCGACGCTCCAGGGCAGGGCGAGCACGCCGGAGCCTATCACGGCGGTGATGGCGTGCGTCGTCGCCGTCCATACCGTCCCTGTCAAATATAAGTATTCAGATCAGCTAACCACCTGCTTTGCTCGCCGTCTGACAGCGTTATGCGTACAGAACACCATGTTGCATGTATGTTGCAATCTCTGAGCATTTTCAGTAGTAGACCACTGAAGTCATCATTATACTGGTCTTTAGCTAGTCAACCCATGACTCCTTTTTCCCACTTGGTAATTCGTCATCATTTTCGATCAATTTTCGTATGCAAACAAGTTGAGAAAAGCTAGCCCATTGATCTACTGCCCGTGCGCTGGATACCATTACATAAAGCAAAGCCAACTGAACTGCGAATTGAACAGCCAGTGTTATATACGCATAGCCGATTTGGATCGTCATGCAACGCCAACTCCATTGGCTTATTCTAAGCACTACCAAAGTAATAGCAATAATACAACTAAAGCATGCTTAGCAAAGTTGTCAAGGCTAGTAAAGCAAGATTTGGTGTGTTACACGTGCGATGTTAGTCCAATTGGAGCTGCATAAACGCACCCTTTTCACCAACGTGTAAGCATGAAAGGCCTTTTCGGAAACTGCATCAGGTTGCCTATATATGTGGAGTGTGATGTGGCATCCAACAGCCATGCAACAGTTGAGAATTCAGGACATGCAACAGTTGAGAATTCAGGTACTACCTGCTTTCAGTCATTATTAACTAGTCAAAATCATAAGGCAATAAGACACCCTGTTGGCAAGGTTGTGATGAATCATCTCAACAACAGTCCCATCCAAACAGATCCTTGCACTCTTCATCAGTCAGTGTTCAGGACTGCTCAACTGTCCACTCATACTCACAGAAGCCTTGTTCAGGGCCACAAGTCCACAATTGTGCACCCGATATGCAGTTATTTATGTACTATTTTGACGCCAAGAAAAAGAACTCTAGTTTAGAATTATGATTCCTGATGGAAGTGGAGAGAGCACAGCTTGCAGGTTTGCAGCCATTCATTCGTACGCAAACCATTGGACCACACTAAACACTTTCTGATAGACTATTCCGGTTCGAGGTGAATAATGTTCTCCATTCTTTTCGGGATTCCTATAAATCTATAGGAGAATCATTGCCAGAACCATCTAATGGCATGATCTCACACGCAACTCAACTATGCCTGAATATAATTCTGGAAGACTAGTATTGGACAACTGGAAATGTTCAGGAGTAGAAAGTCATATACTTCTTGTTTCTTTGTATGTTAAAGGCAGTGGCTGCCAAGTCACTGGCATTTTGGATCTTGCGAGTAGCCCAGTGGCAACCAACTGGGAGCAGACACAGGACCCAGTTCCAGCATCAATACTTACGCTGTTCCTATCTTACGAAGATGTGGCAAAAGAAGCTTTACACTCTATGTATGCCACATTTTCAGGCGTGACTAGCTTCATTCAGTTATATATACACTATGTCACATGTCCAGGCGCTAGCTTTATTCAGTTATGCTATGCAAAGGTGTCTGTTTTTTAGATAATGTGCAAAGGTATCTGTACATTATATTTCTCTTCAATTTCACGGATGCTGTTTCAAAGGAAATTGATACGCTCAAGAAACGTTAAATGTCGATGAATGACGCATGCAAAAGGCATGCCAAGTGAATGGAAATCTATGGAAAATTGGAAATCTCGCCTAAGATGTTTGTGGTTTTTATGAGGTGGCAACTCTGATCATCATAAGCAAAGTTGGTTTTGTTTCACCCGGGTGTTTATGCATGTTCCGATAGATCAACTGATCCTATACTAATATTCGATTTTACTCAAATTTTATTTATGTGTACTAATACAAAAGGGACAGGCTCAAACTTCTACATTTACAAAGATGTTCGCGTCAGGTCTAACGTCTAAGTAGGCCCTCTAAAATATGCCCTATATCTTTTACTACATACAAAAGATTGAAGAAACAAAATGTTGTGTTACCACCATTTTATTTGTTTTATTATCTTTATGAATAGCCTTTCTAATTTAATTGATGACATTTCTTAAAAACATTAATTGGTGACATGCATGGACCTACTCTGAATTGAATAGCATTCCTTATTTGCAAGCTTTGCAGCCTTGCAGGTAACAAACATCAAGACAGTATATGAACTTTAAGTGAGTATATAAAATTTTATTTTACCAAAAATATATGAAATTTTGAATGATGGATGTGCATGTGTGTCGGTCGTAGTACGACCTATTAAATGGGGAACTCGATTCATTAAATTGCATGTGTATGTCCATGCTCCATCAACGATCATCTTCACCTTGCTAGCTAGTAGCACCAAAAGCTACAAGGTGCGGTGTAAAGATGACGAAAATGCCAAGAGGGAAACGAGAAGGGTCTGATGTCTGAAAGACATGCAAGAGAAGACGAGAAGTGCATGCTTCCTATATGCTGGCAGCTGAAATCCCCACGTCTCCCCTGTGGAAACGGAGAAAGACGGCCTGCACCAGCTCACGTCCCTATCCAAAGTAAAGCAACGCCATGTCGCCATGGATGTGTAGATCAACTGCGGCGTATAGTCGTCCCCAGCCTCCCGGGTAAGAAACACACATCTTAAGCGCGGAATTGGACATGGCAGAGGCCAGGGGGCTGTAGATATGGTGAGGTCTTGCTAGGGAACTAGCTAGCCTCTGCATGAAACATGAAGTGTTCTTCTACAGCCTGTTATATATTCCTACCACTTCCTATGGATCTGAGGCATGGAGAAATCTACGTCTCGTCAGTACGGGGACACGGTGGACTGCGACTACGGAAGCATGGTGGTACGGTGTTGACGACGGCAGACAAATGGTGAATAAACGGAGACCAAAAATCAGAGACTACAGAGCTCGATGAGATGATGTATGCAGGTAGAAGACTAGAAGAGGGAGCAAGTGCAGAGTCCACAGACTGTCTAGTACCTGTTCTGACGCGGCCGTCGTCGTCCACCTCCACCTCCACCTCCACCTCCTTCCTCTCCACCTTCTCCATGTCCATCTCTGTCCGTCTCTCCGCCTCCCTAGAGTCTAGAGCTCAAGGCTGTATGCGGCAGGGTCGATGGGATGATTGGGCTCGGTGCGCTGCAGCTATATAGAGAGAGAGGTGGCGTGCGTTGCACCTGACCTGCCTTTCACTGTACATTCATTCTTTTGGCTGTTTGGTTTTAGCCCTGGCCTGGGAGCTGCACCCAGGCACATGCATCCGACCCAGGCCTCCAAAAACCAACGCCTAGGATGCATGCCTGTGCCAGGCAGATTTGCCAGGGCGCCAACCAATGCAGGGGCGTTCTCAATTAATCTGCCTCACGAAATCCCATATCTATTCTAGGGCTCAATACATCAAGATCGAGTATCTTATGGAAATAGTATTTGTTCACCTTTTCCCTTCCATTTATGTTACCTGGGCATTGTTAATTATGTGTTTATTAAGAGACTACTCCATCTGTCCTGCAGTACAGTGCGTTCTAAAAATTCTAAGACAACTTAAGGGAATACTCAAATGACGCATGTACCCATAGATTATTCCAATTATAGAATTTCTCCTCAAATTATGGCTTCCTTTTTAACAAACCTGGCCAAATCTAAACATAGTCATTATGTAGAATGTGTTGTATTTTAATACAAATTTTAGAAGTCACAATGCACTCTATTGTAGGACGGAGGGAGTATGCTGGAGTGCACCTTCAAAGCTATACTCTCTTTTTGAAATTATGAGGCTCATTTAGTTTCATTAAGACAAGACTTTAATCAATAACCACACAAATTTCCATAGGGAAACAAGATACTTTCAGCAAATTTCACAATAGATATATATGATCATTTAACCTTTGGCCCTTTTTCCAGCTTACTGTAACTCCTTCTGTTTTGTAAAACCAGATACACAAATTTAATGACACAAAGTTAATGTCAAATACGTATAGAAAATACTTGTTTGTGATTATAATTTAATATCACAGGAAAATATTAATGGATAACGGTTAGTCAAAGTATTATACTAGCGACGAAATATATGTGTAGTAAAAATAAATATTGCTTGAAATTCTGTTTTGTTGCACTTTCACCGAAACTCCAAGTCCCACTAGTAGAAAACGTGGCTTTAGTTTCGGTTGGGAAAGACCTTTAGTCTCGTTTTTCCAATCGGGACTTCCCGGTTGCCTGAATCATAACTAAAGGCCGTCCGAGGCTAAAAAAATAATGCTCCCACCCTAGTGACTCGAGTAACTCAAACCCAAGACCCCATGCATTGTCTCGCATGTAGCTTTCCACCACACATACATACCACATGTGACTTTGAATGAGGTATTTTTCTTTTGAACTAACCCGTTGAAGGACCTTTAGTCCTGGTTCGTGTTACCAATCGGGACTAAAGGGTCAAGGCTCTTTAGTCCGGTTGGTGTTACCAACCGGGACTAAAGGTCCCCCGACGTCCATAAAACTTAGAGTCAGGACTAATGCTCACATTAGTAGCGAGCCCAACTTCAGTTGAGACTAATGTGTTCAACCGAAGGTCTATTATCTATTAGTGTCCCTTGTGCATTCCATTTAGGTTGGATAATATTTTCTAGATGTTACTAGATAATTCTTACTTTGATTTTATTCTTGGTCCCTACCATACAGATTGAGCTCCTCTACTGTGAAATATTTCTGAAATTCATGAGCTCCAAACGTATCATAGAAACAACTATAGTAAATTTACTTCTAGGATTATTTTAACCTTCCATTCTCATATCATATGTTATGCGCCAATTTTTTAAAAAAGTCCATCCAGTGCAGGCTTCAGTTGGAGTGGACCACAGAGCTGCCTTAAGATTCACACTGACAACTCATATTTAAGCCTTATCTGGATCAACTAGAGCTAGCATCTGCAAGAGTTTTTTAAAATCTACTCTCTAAATAATCATTTGGAGAGTCATCTGAGTAAAAATCGTTTGTATATCTTTATACTCTTCAACAATTTTTCTATATCTTGTGCGCAATCTAGAGAGCCATCGTCACTCTTATCTTTGGCTAGCGAGAAATCCGGAATAGAAGATATCTATCTGCGCTAGGGGATGGTTTTTCACCAAAATCTCTATTTCTATAAATTAGGAAAGATATAAAGAGTCTCTTGGAGATGCTCGAAGGCTACCGGAAAAAAAAAGCTTCAGCTCGTCCAAACAACCTAGATAATAAAAAAAAAAGGCTATGAACCATCTCCCTAGCTAGCTAATTAATTAGAAGGATTCAAACAAGACCTTAACCAATAGAGAAAGAAAAAAAGAGAGAAGAGAGCAGCACTCCGCCGGCATACATGCATGAGCTTCCAAAAAGGGAAATATATCTTTTTCTAGTTGAAGTCGCGGACGTCACGGAGCCGATTGGTGTATCATCGTGAGATCACCCATCTCTTGACGCCACTGAAAGTGTTTTAGGTCTAATTAGCACTAAGCACATTAATTATCCCTTGCAGTCCGCCATGATCTTGCCATAGCTTACTATACAAATGGCCTCCTTTATTGGTCGAGTGGTCTTTCTTAGCTAATGGTTGTCGTCGATGGTGGATCGTTTAACCGTCAAAAACTAAGTGTGGAAAGGCAGAGACGATCTCTTCGAAATCGTGCACGGTCCTAGATTTCTTATGAGTGTTACTGGTAGGTATATAAAGTGGCCATACACCCTACATGGGTCGAACTCTGCCAAAGATTTTAACCGCGCCGCCGTTCGTCAGTGCTGTCAAAGTTCAAAGACATCACCTGATGCGGACATGTCGCTGGTATTCCGAAACCGTCGAATTGGCCGTGCACGACGTATCCGATGGAGAGAAGAGAACACGACAGCCCCGGCCGTGTTGTGTGGTGGATAAACCCATAGATAGACTTCCAGGAGCCACCTCGTCAGCTTGCAGGATACATCGAACGAAACATCTACGCTCTAGCCCACATCATGGTACCCTGGTACGCGTCGACGTGAGCAAGGTGCTCACGCAACTGAATCGATGGCGAGGCTAGACCTGGACGGCTGTACGCGACCAACTCTGAAACGGCACAACCGCACAAGTATAAATGCAGAGGCAGCAACGGCACGGCAGCACCGCACGATGTCAATGCACGAGCACGATGCCACTGGGCAAAGGCGACATGCTTTTCGCGGACCGCTGAAACGGGCAAAGGCTTTTTTGCCTCAGTTGGGAGCAGGGCGAGAAGCCGAGCGACTTTTGCAGGCAACAAACAAATGTATGCAGGTTCCGTGTTTCGTTTCATGGCCGGATGGCCCAACCCGGATGCGCAATAGCTGTAAGCTGCCTGTGGAAGCTGCTGAGTACAGCAGCAACTGATGATCAGATGGCAAGGCAAACCAATGAGTTCCTTTCTTGTGTCACATGTTGCCATGCCGGATGACGGCACGGCATCAGGCAATGTACAATTGGGCTGGATCGGTCTTTCGGAAAGTATAGCCCAGTTGAGGTGATGGGTCGAGAGAAGATCAACAAAGCAAAGCAGAAGGGTGAAAAAGGCAAAAAGACACATGATGCACCACTTCGAGACAGACAATGGTGATGGAATGTGACTGGGGATTAGAGGAGCCCTTCAACTCTTAATAAAAAAATGAGTTTCTCAAAAAAAATCTTAAAAATGACGATGGAATACATTAACAGCAGAATGCTTCTCGAAACAATGCAACACATCAACAAACACATATCTACTTCGAACGGAACGGCACAACGGTGGTTTATTAGGAATACAGTTTTACATGCGTGCGTGTATATGCTGTCACGCCCGTCGACGGATGCTTCCCACGAGCGCGTCAGCTGTTGGTGGTGAACCTGTAGGACGCGTAGGAGAGCGTGGCGTTGGTCCAGCACTGGTGGATCTGCTCCGCCTTCGCGGCGTCCCCGGCGGCGCCGAGCGCGACGTGCAGCGGGTAGAAGTGGTCCGGCCACGGGTGCGCCACCCTCCCGTGCGGCGCCTTCTCCTCGTACCGGTTCACGTCCTCGTACCTGATGGCCAAGGCCGCGAGGGATCAGCACTTCAGCAGCAGCAGCAACAGGGCGTCTCGGCGGCTCTGAGAGAGCACTGAGCAGTTTCATTTCAGGTTTACCTTCCGCTGAGGAGCGAGTCCTTGAGCCAGGTGTCGAACTCGGCGACCCACTGCGGCACGGGCGCGTCGAACGGGCCCATCTTGCGCAGGTTGTGCGTGGCGCTGCCGGAGCCGAGGATGAGGATGCCCTCCTCCCGCAGTGGCGCCAGCGCCTTGCCGAGGTTGTAGTGGTACGTGCCGTCGCGGTCGGTCTGCACCGACAGCTGGCACACGGGGATGTTGGCGTCCGGGTACATGAGCATCAGCGGCACCCAGGCGCCGTGGTCCAGCCCGCGGCTGTGGTCCTCCTTCACGGGGCCGAACCCGGCTTGCTCCAGGAGCTCCTTGGTCCGCAGGGCCAAGTCAGGAGCGCCCGGAGCGGGGTACTTGAGCTGGAATGGGACAAAGGAGTTTATTCCTTCAGGATCAGCGAGCAAACTTCAGACTTCAGAGCAATTCAATTCAAGCATGATGCCGAGAAGACTGAATGAGCTAGTACAAACATCATCAACCACAACCAGCGTTTTATTAGCTGCTGCATCGAACTTTTTTGCAGCAGCGGCAAACATTTTTGTTTGTAGATTTACACACTGTGTTTAGACAAGCATAGAAAAGTGTAGCGATTTCATTCAGAAAGTTTCAGAGATGTGATATGATAGCAAATCAGCTAATCAGCATGGGTGCTGCAGGAAAAAAACGGCAGCTGCAATGGTATGTGAGCCCCAGTCCCCAATTAAAGAATAAACATCGAGGAGATTTGCAATGACACGCGACATATTATTCCAAATACAGTATTATAGTAGCTATCAACCTAGTACGTGCTCATTCAGCCTACGTTATCTAGAAGCATAGACTACCAAACAGTAGTAAAAGCTAAAGATAAGTTGGTGGATGTCTCAAACTGGAATGGAAACTTGGAGGCTAAACAAGCCAAGCACCTAAAAATCATGATAAAAAATATTTCCACTGAACTAAGCTTGCACAATATGAAATATCAAACCACAAATTTCAATTGACCTCGGACCAAACAAGCCTGGGGACCTAGAGGAGTAGAGGGCAACTAAATTCTTAGTCCTGGATACATATATGAGTCTCAACCATTATCTAGGATGCATTATTATGCAATTCAGGTGATAAAGTATAGTAGTAACAGTAGATAAGCTGCGTATACTAGTAGAACAACTGCTTATGACAGATTTCAGTAGGCATGCATAACAGGAAAAAACGCACAGCAAAGATCGCTTTCTTGATTTTTTTTTTTACTTAGAGATCATAAAAAGAGACATACAGAATCCCGGCCGGCTGACAATAGGGGTGCAAACGGTCGCATACCAGCCGATCGATAACTATAGGTATACGAATATAGTATCGGATGTTGAATATTTAGACTTAGACGGACGGATGTGAACTCCTCTAAACAGATTCGGACTCGGATACCGTTGCAAAAATATTTTGAACGGATGTGAACTCCTCTAGGGCTCGTTCGTTTTCAGCAAAATGACACCCGGAATCATTCCGGTTAACAAAAACTTATACAAATTGACTAACGATTTCGGCTGGGAATTCTTTCTGGGGGTGATTCCCAGAAAAACGAACGGGCCCCTAAGGGGCACGTTCGGTCTTCACGTAATCAAGCCCTGGAACGGATCCGGCCTGAAATACTACTGTATTTTATACGGCTATGCATCGTCGGGATACGTTCCGGCCAGGAATGGCCCCAACCGAACAGGCCTAAACGGATTCGCAAAAATATTTGTAACATTTGCACCCCTTATAATTTAGTAAATTATTAGGTAAAGGCTAGTGGCAAGCGCACCTTACCTACTTCGATGTGCACGAGCCATCAAACACCAATGGCTCTTCCTGCTGACAAGCGAGCCTATCACGAGATGGGACACCAAGGTTGGTGAAATTCAGGTCAGCTAGATGTCTGCATCTGCAGCTTCAGTTTTCTAGAACTACCGTTCAGCTCTAGGCCGGCAACTTCCCCCAACGCTCTATGAATCTATGATACTACATCTTTCACATCCTAATTTCATGGTGATTTCACCAGAACATTGGTCAATGGTCACTGGCTCTAGTGATCCTTGTTTCAGATAAGATAAGCACATGATCTCATGATTCGAGACAAGAATCCCCATTTCTGCACCTGCATGGACCATGATCTGATGGGGTAACTCAAAAGCACTGCTAAGCCATTAGCTGTTGTATACGAATGAGGAAACTTCCGATTTTGACCTTTCCCATGCGCAGAGGAAGACAAAGAACTCGCTGATAAATCCAGACGAGCCGCAATGCTGCCTATCCTAAACCCAATTTTGATGCGCTGGGTCATCTTAAACGCGAGGCTTCCCAACGGATTCGCGGGGATTTGAAGACAGAGAAGGGTGGTAGGTGGGCATCGAACGGACCTGGTACATGGGCTTGGGAAAGCCATAGAAGTCATAGATGGTGTCGTTGCTGCCGCGGATGACGTTGACCGCCGGCGTGGCCGTCTCCCAGTGCCCCGACACGACGAGGATGGCGCGCGGGGGCTGGTCGCCCGCGACCTTCGCCGGCACCCACGACTTGAAGAAGTGCCGCGCCGGGATCTTCTCGTCGATGGAGAGCGTGGGCGAGCCGTGCGATAGGAAGAAGGTGTCCATGGTGGCCGGGCTTCTCGGCGGTCGCCTCTGCCCCTCCTCGGCTGTTGCGTCTGGCTGTGGCTGTGGCCTCGTGATGTCGCCGCGCCGCCGCCGCTGCTCCTCGCCCTCCCGCGTCGCGTGCCGCGTCTCTGGTTTGGGTCTGCCCGCTCTGGCTCTGCCCTGGCTCTGCCCCATTATGTCGTCGCGCTCGCTTCGCTGGATTTTGCGCGCGTGCGTCGCGTCAGGTTTGTGGTGGTGCCCCGTGGTCCGTGGGGAGCAGAGCAGCGCGAGAGAAATGATTGGAGGGCGCCTGAAAAACATTGGGGTTTGGTTGGTCGCACGCGGACGGGGTCCAAAGTCCAAACTCTAGACGCGCAGCAATACGCATCTTCCGGCCTCCGCCGGAATCGGTTCGGTTTGCCGGCCCGCGTCGTGTTGTCACTGGCGTGTAAGCAATGACGCACGACGGCGTGTTTATATGGACTCGCTAACAAGGAGAGAAAGCGGATTTAGTGAGATGGGCCTCTTCGAATCTTGGTCTTGGATCGGGCCGGTCTTCCATTATGGGCTTGCTAGCCCTACACAGGCTTAGCCAGAAATTGCCGTTGGTCTCGAGCAAGGCCACAGGCCCACAGATCTGCTTGGGCCTAGGAAAAGAACTCCTCTCACTGTTCTAAAGAAAAAGAACTCTCACCAAAAAGAGAGAGAAGATGAAAAGAAGAGTTTGAATGCCCTAGCATATACGCCACGGCAGTCCGGTGGCAACCGCATCACTTACGCAGCCGCAGTTGAGGTCAGGACGTCACACGTCCGGTCGCGAGTCTTCAGAGTTCACACAGAGAAAGAACGGTATCTTCCACCGAAAGTCTGCATCTAGATGTTCAGGTCTACTCCGACGGCGACCGAATGTCCTGTGTCTCGATCCGTCAATTTTTCTTTAAGACTAACCTTTAATAATTCGTCAAGATCAGCTGTTTGAGAATCGCTCGCTAGTCCATCCTGGCTGCCAGGCTGCAGTGCATAAAAGCTCCAAACTCCACGATAAGCTAGCTAAGTCAGTTACACTAATCAGGTAGCGATCGATCTCTCGGCCGGCTTGCCATGGCAGCTACGACGAGTGCTGCCAGGAGCTTGCTGCTCTGCCTGCTGGTCGCCTTTCTCCACCGCCTCCAGTTTCAGATCCCGCCTGTAGCAGCTGCGACGACGTCGCACAACAAAACCGAGAGCCGACGAGACGGGCGCGGGAAGACGCTCAGCTTCACGCTGTACCAGCACGAGACCATCAACAAGACCGGCTACATCGTGGTGGACGGCGTCGCGGGCGCGGGCGTCAGCCAGACCACCACGCCCTTCGGCACCATCTACGTCTTCCGCGACGACCTGACGGTGCGCGCGGACAGGGCCTCCCCGGTGGCCGGCGTCGCGGAGGGGAGCTCCATCACCACCAGCCTCGACGGGCTGCAGAGCCTGTCGCTGGCCAAGATTACGGTCCACCACCGCGGCCACCGGGGATCCGTCTCCGTCCTTGGCGGCACCTACAACACAAAGCCGTCCGACTACCCGGTGGTCGGTGGCACCGGCGACTTCGCGTACGCGCTGGGATACGTCCGGTCGTCGCCGGTGGACTTGCGGGGACGGACGGTGACGTACAAGATGGAGCTTCACTTGTACTGGCCTCCGTATGCCCACTACGCTACGGTTCCGCGTAAAGCGTGAATAGTATAGCTACTAGAAACTGTGGCGCGGACGTTGCCGCGCCAACCTAAGATGACCTATGTATTTTGGTTGTTATGTGCTTTGATGATAGGATTAAATGGTATAGAAGCAGAATGATGGTGAACTGCTCCTCACAGCAATGGGCTGCTTCCTAGTGTTTATGAAATAAACAGTTATTTCCACCTTATGCATATCTATGGATATTTTGCAACTGGAGCAGACGACTATCAATGTCGTCTGTTTCGTCCGTGTCTTTGGTGTTCGAATTTTTGTCATTGAAATCTTATAGGCATGTATCATCTACAATTGGAAGTTAATGTCGTCTGTTTCGTCCATATCTTTGGTGTTCGAATTTTTGTCATTGAAATCTTATAGGTATGTATCACCTACAATTGGAAGTTGAAGCTTTGATGAATACAGTGCCGCGCCATCCTTGGAGTTCACCGGTGTAGTTTTTTTTATACCATTATTATTGCAAAAGGTTGAGCTACGAGATTGCCCATTAGTAATATATGGAGTCATGGGTGATGTTTACAGCAATAGCACAATCAGGAGTTCAAATATTTCCTCAACTTGATCCAAGTGTGTCGTACCTAAATTTGCATGCACATATATACGTTGATATGTAGCAATCTCATCATATAAAAATTTGAGGTGGTCATATAAATGTGCCAAGTAGCAAATCTATCTATGGGATACTAAGTGCTAATGTCCATATAAAAGTTTTGTAACTTCATAGTTTTACAGGAGAACAATATTTTCTGAAACTAAGCATATCTCACAGATATTGTCATAAAAGCTGAGGCCATGCATAAGTATGCATCGCTAAGTTTGTTTCAGTGACCCAGTACAAAAATGTCTTGTATAACCTTTAATGAATGATGAGATCCATAGTATGCAGTAGCCTGGAAAGAGGGAAAACAAAAACAAAATGATACTATTTAAATGTACACTGATGAAAGGATAATTATGGATTGGAGAAAATATTTGTGCTCTGCCCAGGAATTTAATTTAAGTGGTTGAATAATGATTATAAATGCAATTTAGAAACCAAAATGATTAAAGAAATAGAGTAAGATCGTGTGTGCTCCTTCGCTTCAACACATTTCTGTTTTACAAAGAGAACATGCTTTCTCCCCCATCTATCTGACAAAGGTGGCTCTGGAATTTTTATTTATCTTAATACTAGACACTTATTAAAGGAACATAGATAAGGACAAAACTCTCCTCAAATATCAAACTCTAGTATCAATGGCAAGTCGTTACTATGAAAAAAATATTTGATAAACACATTTATCATCAAAGATAATAAAGAAGAGTTTACTAAACACCATTAGTTAATCTTTCACATTCATACATAACTACTCAGCTTGGGGAAAAGAACTGAATTTGACATATAAAAAAAGAACCATGCGCATTGAGATTGAAACAACTACTGTCTTGTCGCATGCAAGTATACACGATTGTGAGCAGTTGCCAATTCTGTTGTAAGTGAACCACTTGTACCAAATCGCTAAATTCTAAAAAGGACGTACCACTTAAATAATTTCGTTGTAGATACCTGCAAGTCATCACACATCGGAAGAACAAAAGTAGCACTACTAATCTGTGATGTGTAAGAATCCTGAATGAAGTAGTAGTTGGATGGTTTTGCTAAACATACTGAAATGCCATGCTCTAATATCTGAAAAGTGTCATTCTATAAATTTTTTAATAGGGAGGAAGCGACAAAGACAAGACATTCCAGTTTTATGAAATGAAGTAAGCCCTTTGCACATCTTGAACTTCTACCAATAATATGAATTTTAAATTGCCATATATGTACATGTATAGTTAGTACACATGGGATACAACTATTTGATAAATATTAGCACTTATCCATGCATTCGATTATTATCTCGATCGATGCAATCCTGCATGATAGAAAGACAACAGAATGTTTATTTTAAGCTCATGGATTGCTGATAAAATATTATCGTAAAAGCTTGATTATTCAAAGTGGCTCAATGCACACCTACCTTGGAGGAATTTCCTCGAGCAGCAGGTGAGAATCGTCCATGGACCCCCACTCGTCATTTGAGGAGTTGGACCCCACTGATTGGCTTTGAGGAGGTGGCGGTGCTTTCATGGCGTAGGAGCTCGCATATGGGCACAACGGAGATGCAAAGCACTAAAACCACTTACATTGCACGCCGTGACACGGACTCTTCCATGAGCAAGGCAACATCTGTGCAAAAAAGTGAAATTCTAAAAAAGGATGCAGGTACCAAAGCAAGATATATAGAAAGCTCCCCTCCTCTAAACTCCCACTTCCCTTTCTAATTGGTGCTAAACAAGCCAAGAGAAAGGAACATAGGGAGGTCCTCACCGAGCATAGACTTTGAAATATCATAGCCAATCCAGTGGTGGCCATGCTCCATCAATGTCTCACCACTAAGCCCAGAACCACATCCTGGAAATTACAGCACACAAAGTCATCGTAGGTAAGCATATCTTCAAACATAGATGTCTTTCAATTGCCATAACCGATTCCAATAAAGAGCTCCCACAGCATGTATTTTTGCCCCCGTCAAAGGAGAATACTTTCTGTTGTTCTAGCCAACGCGATATGCCATGATTCATGAAGCAGAGCTGCAGAAGAGAGTAAGGTGACCTATGTCGAGAAGCGGCTTGGGGACGCCATCGTTGGGAAGAGCGAGCAGCTCAGCGCCCTCTCGAAATCCTAGATGAAAGAAGGCATGTCACTTGGCGGCCGGTACCTTGAAAATCGACAAAGCTCAAATCAAATGGGGGGAGGCACTTCGCTTGCTCACTTGGATTTCGATGATACGGGAGGAGGTGGTGTACTTGGGGACCTCCGACTCGTTGTAGAACACATCCAGCGGCGCCTAGAACTCCGGCCGAGGCATCCTCACTCCCCTCCGAGTGTGCGGCGGCTTACCGGATTGGTGGGACTGCAGCTCTCGAGCCCCACGCCCGGTAGGGGGTGGCTGCGACCGCCGTGCCCTTACGCCGCCGCCCGCTCGGGGTGGCTACAGCAGCCCACGCCAAGCCGGAGAGGCCGCACTGGTCAGTCGCAAGGGCAGCTGGGGCCCCCGCCCGCGCCGGGATGGCCGGGACCCGAGCGGCCAAGGCCGCCGCGCCGCGCATACGCGCTGCGCAAAGGTCGCCGGTGTGCATTGGGGGCCCCCAGCCGTGGCCGGGATGGCCGGGAACCCCACGCCGCAGCAGAGCCACGTCTGTCATGGCTGGGGCCTTTGGCCCGCCAAGGCCGAGAGGGAGAGGAGGAGGTGAGGGGCGGCGTAAGTGGCTGTGTTGTTGGTAGCAGTTGCTTCTGTGACCTCGGCGGCTCTCTCCTCTACACGACGGGCAACCCTCAGGAATATTCGCTATTTAGCCTACTTTGGCAGCCCAGATTCCTGGTCTTTTCCCTGGGCTAATCTGTCCCGTGCCACCCTTCCCCGGGTCAAATTTGTGCGTCCTTTGGTAGCCCACCAAGGCGAGGATCGTAGTCCGCTTCCCTGCGTTTTCCGCGCGGAAGAAATCCACGACTCGTTAGGCCGGAAGGGTTTCCCCGTGCGACTTGCGAGCTTTCTTCTTCCGCTCGCGACGCCGCCCAGTCACGAGGCCGCCGCCACCACAGCATCCGGCCCCCGCCCCGGCATCCGTCCGCCGCCGCGACATCCCTCCACCTCGCTGTTGCTTGGTCTCTCTCGTGCATGCGACGTCGACACGGGGGTCGCTCTCGGGCGCTCCTCCACCGCCGCCACCTAGCTCATCCACCGCCGTCGCCTCGCTCCTCGTCCGTCGTCGCCATCTCCACCGCCATTGCCATCCGTCTCGAAGGTCAGTGCACCTCATCTCCTTCGTTCCAGTAGTTTCTGGATCCGCTAGGGTTTGACCCACACCTCCATTGCTTTTCATGGATCTTGGAGTTGCAGATCCGCGAGCCAGGACACCGCTACCGCTACCCATTGTGCCTCCCGTGAGAAGCATCGACGCTGCCGGCTACACGACACCACCTCTTGCCCTTCGCTCGGATCTCTCTGCTCTACCTAAGGTTTCTCCCCTTCTTCTCTTGTCACACCATTTCTTGTGGATCCTGAAATTTTGTGTGTGCATCTGTTAAATTGGTTTCTGATTCAATAATTGAATGTTAGGGATCTGCTCATTTGCATAGCTTACTACCTTAGCAAGCAGCCGCTAACACAGTTGCTGAACTTGTGTGCTTTTGATGGTGATTGCCTAGCAAATAATGTTTTTGTACTCCAACCAATTCCTGAAAACCACTTTGCCTTGTGTTATCTAAGATAGATTGGAGTCATTAGTCTTATTTGCTCGCATGACTTGGATTAGCAATAAATTGGCAGTGTTCTTTTTACACGAAATACATTAAACAAATCAACTGTTCTGTAATAATCTTGAATAAAATTATCGGTTACTAAAGTTCTTCCAGTCTTATATGAACGAATAGTTATTGATCTATTCATAAGTGAAACCATATATAACTTCAAATAGGTGATGGTCACATGCAAGTAAATTGTACTGTGTTTACTACACCTATAATGATAGCACTGAAGATGAGAAAAAATGTAAGTCGTCCACACTTCTGCTTTTATTAGTAAAAAACCACAGTGTTGCTATTCTCTTAATTTTGTCAGTTTCAGTAGCAGCCGCGAGCTCCTGCTATTTACAGTTCAGATACTGCACCAAGTTTTCTTGTGTATTGGCAAGTGTAGTACTTCAGTAGCTTATTGAGAAATTTCTAACTGTTCCTAGGGTCCCCATATCACTAGTTGAGCTATTATTTGTTCTTGTGAGGAGCATGCTAGGAATTTTCTCAAAGTCAGCCCTTGAATTTTAGAAAGTTCCTAGCGTGTTCCTTCTAAGAGCATGCTCTCTCTAGTGCTCTGTTTTGCCAATTGTGGTTGTAGATTTGTGGTACTTGGCAGTTTTTTATATATATGTAATAATATAATTTCATATATGTAACACTAGAT